GAGGTGACTTGTTGGCCGGGTTCCCATCGGACTCGCAATCAACAGTACGCTATACGCGTCATCTTGGAAGTCAGTGTCTGATCATTTAACTAGACAAGCTCCGGCTTTCCCTCTTCCCCCATCAGGGGAAATCATTCGGCCGCAGAACACCTTTCTTCTGTTCCTTTCGATGATATACATTGCGTGGAACACACCTTTGGCAACGCGACTCCACGAAGTGTATCTGTGTCACCTTCTCACAGTGCATCTACAGTACTCCCACGTGACCCTGCATCACCGTCTCAAGGCGACGTGTTTCACAACCCGCAAAACAACCCGAGCAGCGCTGATGAAATTCTTGCATCAAACATCCCTGATTCCTGTCAGGGTGGGATAATCCCATTGAATGAACAGTCACTTTCATCACGCTTCTCTCCATTGACAAAGTGCACGCATCAGACTGGCCAAGGGTCAAAAAGACGCCACGAATATCAAGGTCTTTGGAATCAGCTTGACCCCTTTGTACCTTAAATAACCCTTTGTCAGATACCACGCCACAAAAACGACGCCGAACGATCTCAGGAACACAGAAATCTTACCCATCCCGCTTCATATCAGAGCCCACCACAAGTAGGCTCATGCCCCCAGTCCCCATTACTCGGATATACTCGGCTCCTGCTGGACAGAGTAAGAAGGTGTTTGATGGTGTTGTGCTCCCTACCTTGCGTCAGGTTGTTGCCGCGGAGCGGAGTTTTGGGCTGTCAACAAGAAGTTCAACTGAGACGTTCCAATTCAATGATCCGCCCCGCTCAGTTCAGACACTCTCGATTGCATCTGATGATTCTGACGATTACGACAGCTGGGAGATTCGTTGCGCTGAGATAGGCTCCTCGGGTACGCCATCTTCATACGTCCATATATCCGCACTGATACATGTTACAGAAATGGAGGTCGACGATTCCCTTGCTGAAGTTCCTCGGGACTCTCTAATGGAGTGTAGCAATATTTTGCAAGAAGGTAGGATATCTTCATTGCAGTTCTTTGAGCCGCTTAATGTTGTTTAAATCTTAGGAACTATGGAAATACGAGCAACAACGAGGACGCAGCAATGCTCTAAATCACAAGAAGCCAGTCAACATGTCACTCAACATCCTACACCGTTGAGACGTTCAAATACTGGTTCTAGCCATCTGAATGCATTACACGAGGCTTACGCCGCGGTCGCTAGTGGAGGCTCCCAGATACCAGTACATGAACTAGTTCAAGCTACCAGGCTCGTCCACCAGATCGGTGCGGCCCTTTCTGAACAGATAAATAAGCAGTTTGGAGGTTCTTCGTGATGATGTAGGAAGATGTATGCTTAGTCGGGATGTCCAGGTTCAGTAACCACTCAAACGCTATCATTATTGCTCATTATTGGGACTATGTACGTGCACTATTATCAATCATCTAACGTCTAATACGCCTTGACATCGAGTGCTCCCGCGAAGTGAACTGGGATCCGGAGTTGGACCGACTTCGTTTCTCTAAGTCACCCGAATTGAAGTTATAGTGAAATTCATCGACCAAACCAATCGGATGTTTAAATGGGGCAATGCAGAGACTGGATACGCAGTGCAACTACTATGTGATATCGAATTATGATCTTCTGCATCAATAGAAAACGTCGTAACCAAACCCGAATTCGCACGTGAAAGTGGTCTTATGCCACTTCAGCCTGCGTCCACGACAAAACCGGTCAGCTCACCTCCCAAGACACGTGCCGTAAAGCCCACTTCACAATAACAGCTAGAAGGGAACCATGAGCGCGCGATGCAACGTGCCTTCCCACTAGTAATCTATATCAGCTAGAAGGGAACCCTTCTGTTACCTACTAGTAATCTATACCATATCAGTCGGATTCTTCACTGACCCAAAGAGTGCTCTACCTATATAGTCATTTTCTGCGGAAGACCCCTATCTCTTTCCTTCCTTTAGGGCCATTTACTATGGTGGGATGCTCCGCATTTAGAACTGGGACGATGACGCTTTCGGACCTGCTCACGAAGCGTTCGGGCATAGTGTGGACCTATGTTGGATGCAGAATCAACTATAAGACAGCCGCCGGTACCCTTCTCCATGGATTTAAGCAGCAGTGTCAGAGTTGGCAAAAACCCACCAGAGAATACTGTAAACCATCATGTCGACGTAACCCGGGGGAAACGTGTACTAGTAGTTCATCATTACTCTATAGGTAGATAAGAGTTTCAGTGTAAAGCCGATCAATGAGACCTAACTCTATACTATCTAAACCTTCCGAAGGAGCGTTGTAAGCAATATTGTTAGAGAAGAAGCCCGTGAACGGAAATACATACGAGCCCCTGGAATGGTAATGACCCGTACGACTCCGAGTCTTCGACCCCTCCCTCGGGTTTCAACGCCAAGTCGTGAACACGCCGATACTCTTCCAGATATTCCGCACCAACTTGCTCAATCATCTCAATGTCGATGACTCTATCACAAGAAGCTTTCCAGCTCGGCGGCATCGCACGGTAATCCATGAGATGCACTGTCACTCCGAGTCTGTCCTGAAGTCCAGCGTCCTGGACAAGCTACATAGCTAGCGCCTGTTGCTGGACAGAAAGTGTAAAAGTATCTACGGTTGTGCCGGGGTATGTTTGCGCAATGGCTATAGCCATGGAACCCCAGCCGGACCCAATCTGCAGTACGCGCTGGTCGGAGGAGATTCAATGATGTGTTTTAGCTTTCGAAGCTGTGCTTCATACAATGAATCCTGCAATGGAGCAAGGTAACAAACTGTCACCACTGACGGTCGAGCCCACCTCTGTCTTACCAGAAATCATATGTTGTGAAGGAGCCGACGAAGTCTTGCTAGACCCGTACCGCAGTCCCACTACGACGAGTCGCGTGGTGTTCTATGTGTTGCACTGCAAGGCCACAGCCTGTGGCCTAAAAGTCTTTCCCTCCAGACCTGCTTAGTATTCACTGCGTCAACCAGATACCCTTTGAACGTGGACTATGAATTAGCTCGTCCTGCGCAGTGGTCATCGCAGGCATTTTCGGAAACTGTCTGGGCAAGAGCGAATGTCAGACCACATGTCCATAGTCGAGCGACACCCCGGCATTGTGGCAGCTGCGGTTTCTTGGATAATACCTCGAAGAGCTAGCCCCACAAGTTGTTGAAGCAGCAAAAGAACCGCTCCGAAGACCTGCCAGAATACCCACCTGATACTGGAACAGGCTGGGGTCTTTCACCGCATGTCCCACTATTACTAAGGTATCGGTCATTTATTGCGATTCAAATAGGACAGCCTATCATGAGTAAGCGGCTAGTTGCACCGCGCCTGCATGTAGCTGATGCATGGCCGTGTCGGAACCTGATAATTACGATTTCGAAGGGACCCAGGCGAGTGTGTAGTGCCCTGTTAGCATTCTGAAGTAGGGTGGGAAACACAAGTCCCTGAACTCAATTAGCATCAGTTGCAAAGACCTCAACCACCGCTCGGTAAGCATATTTACTGGACCCCTGGTAAGCTGAAGTTCACCGCCCTCGCACATGCCTATTCTGCTCTGTTCCACCACGTTTGCGCCACTCCCTTACACATCGCCGAGCTACCCGACCAATACTCGACATCCCCTCCCAAGGTGCTACTGGTTTCGACGCCGCCAACAGAAACCGCCGCTGCTCCAAGTCTTATGGTCGAGCGCATTTCTTGGGGTGGCAGCGCTTCCCCATTTTGGCTTCCTCAGTCTCATCTTCGTGCCCCACCCTCTCCTATGCAGGACTTAGGTTTATAGTGTAGCCCCTCCTTGACAGTATATTTTGTTCTTTACATATTTTAAAATTTTAATCATGAACCAACTTAAATTCTCGTGTCTTTTGCTGAGCCAGTGAGATCAAGATGCAATATACAAATTATAACTACCGACAACAGGAACATGTATGTAGACACTGACTCGGATATATAGTAGAGGAGTCATACATGAGGTGGAATTGCGAGAAGAAAAATCCAAGATCCGGTGGTGGATCTTGACGCGAAAGTGCCGCTAGGTCTTGATGCGCTGTTTCGAAAAAAAAAATCAACCAGCGGCGGGACAGCTAGGGTGCAGGAAGGGAGCAGGAGCAGGATTGGTGTCACTGTCAAGGGTTAGGCAGGATGCAGATAGGTCACCGGCGGCGTTTACGTGCACTAGGGTTGGAAGAAAAAAAAGACCGCGAGGCTCGAGCTCGACAACGATGCTGACTGGACGATAATACATAAAAGAAATTCGTACCTTTCTCCGACGCAGTTTACGGGGTCCAGCCTTTACTAAATAACGTCAGTCGAATGCTAACAAGGTTTCTGAAATATAGAGAGCCGATCTAAGTATTTCGGAATGCTAACAGGGCACAGCATCACTCTCAAACCAGATGCACGAACTTCAATTGATGATGACGGTGAAGCGTGTGGGTTTCACACGAGCGGGACCTTCAGCGCTATTCTTCCCTTGCTAGAGTCGCGGAAGGAGTCTTGAAGAGGCTTGTTGGAGGGCTTGAGCCTTGCGTCTACGAAATTGTACATAAAATCGTGATCAAATTCACGGGCAATCGACTAATCGACCCTGTATCATTGCGTAGCTAAATATTATTCAAAGAATATTCTGAGCCCCGAGCCCGGGTTAATGATTCCTGTGATTAGAGACATCGTTTTTGCCGCATGTCCTCGACAAGGCTCAGAATCTGTCTTTCTTCATAAACAGAAAACAAAGTTCAAGTTCAACAGGCATGTTCATCCACCGAGAACCCACAATGCGTACACTATGTAGATACATTGTGAAGCCGAACGGGCCGATTCCCGAAGCCTTCAAGGGGAAACTAGTAGAAAGCGGGGAATCATTCGTGAGCAGTGAACGGCATATTCTTTGGACTAATCCAAAAGCTACTAGTTGATCGGCACTGTCAGCGTCGGCAGTCACTGCAACTCGGGCTCGAATTTGAAGTAAGTAAAGTTTCACAGTTATACTCTTGGGCTGAGCCGAGCCGGCGGAGTTGCTGGGGGTCGGATGATAGAAACAATGAAGTTATTCGGCTCAAGCTCCAAGTCTAGCGCGCGCACTTATGGCATACCGGTGCTTCGTCAGGATCAGGGTGAACCATCCTAGGTTTGTCGGGTCTGCTCACGAATGCATATATCTTCACCAATAATTGCTTGACACTTATTTCCTCTGACCGTCCAACTTGGCAGTGGGACAGTCTCGGACTTTCGTCTGCCATTTTTCTATCTCTGTTCAACGTTAGTCGCTCATTTACTTGGCGTTGCCAGTGCCTGCTTGCGCTAGTAATGTCCCCCTCCACCGATCCTGTTGCACGCAACATTGCCATAATAACAAGTGCGTTATAATCGCTGTCGGAACATTCTTCTAGTTTGATTTAGACTCGTCAGCGATATTAATCGCGCTCATGGTCCTCGAGTACATCTATAGCTTTAAGGATGAAATAAGGCTGGTCTGGCCGTGAGTAGTTATCCGCGTGTTGATAAACGCTGTCGATAAACATTTTCTGGCAAACAGGCGGTTTCGGAAGTCCATCGAAGCCAAAATCTTTGTAATGACAAGGTATGCCGGCTTGGCTGGCCAAAGGTGGGCAGTTCGGCAACTCAGGGTCCCGTGCTCACTTCTGCCGCTAGTTTCAACATCTGGTTTGCATTTAGGATAGCCTCGGGGGTTCCCAACAGTCCGTTCGCTTGCAAAGTATGGACTTCGTACCAGATAGCGACGATCCAATGTCTGCTGCTTTCAGTGGAGTCATTACTCATGCTGCGAGGTACGTAGCTTTCGGTCTTACTCTGGGCGACTATTTACTCACCCTCCTTGCAGTGTACAAAATGTACAACAAAGGCAAATATATCTCTGTACTCTTGTTCATCCTCGTTAGTGCGCAGTCTACCACCATGGCAGTCAATGCTCGATGGATTATAACTGAGACTCGCTATTCCCCTACTTGTGTCCCTCATTATCACAGTCGGACCTATGTCGGGTGAGAATTTTTGCAGCTCTTGTATATCTGATCGCCGAGTCGAGAACCAGCGTCTCAATCATTACAACTTTTGTGTTCATCGTTGTAGCAATGCTATGGCGATTCCTCAAAAGCCCATCCGGCTGGTCGGAAGTTCCGCGTGCTTGGCTCAAGCTTGCGGTCCGCGACGGTGGCTGCACGGCCATTGCGATAACAGGTAGGTTTGGTGTACTTATTTATTCATATATGCTCATCACTCCAGTGATCCTCATCTTTATGTTTCTCTGCACCACGGGCGTCATCGACACACAGATGAGCGGAAACATTGTCTTTTAGTAAGTCTTGCATGTACCGCAGATTTCTCTGCTCACCGAATTTCATTAGCGTACTGCTTTCCTGCCTTTGGTTTGCTGTTGAGTGCCAGATCTTAGACGGTCATTCTCTTCCTCATTCTCTTTTTCAGGCTGGACGTATAGTCCTTCACCAAGAGAAATTCCGTATAATCCAAGAATCCCAGAAGAAGGGTGGCGTCAATGATCCAAGTCGGTGGACTGAGATGATCGAGGTGAACTTAGATGACATTAGTCCTTTTGATGACCCCGATGTATGTCCGACAAGTCCCTCCGGCTCGGAGGTCGAGTCGACCAAAGTCTCCACCCTTTCGACTCTGTCAGCCGCAGGAATGAAGGATATCGCTGACGAACACCTTTGAGAGCGGGAGGAGACGGTCGAGCTGCGCACCTACATCCATGCTCATCGAAAGATGGATCAGTGGTGAGGGATCGGACTCTACGAATTAAAGTAAATGCATTCGTTTTATGATACGATCATGAGTTCTATGGTACATGATATGTTACTAATAGTTTCACATTGTCAGGCATATGGCAGTGCCACCTTTGGACTGAGATGCACAGATAGTCACCCTGGTATAATATTTTTCAGCATTCGGCCGCGCTGCACTGGACGGATTCCAACTGAGTGGTGAGTGCGATAAGTTGGGCCAGGTGAAATCGACGGGGTCGTGATGCGCCTGTGATGCGGCATTGACGCGCGCGGTGTATGTGGCGTGGCACTGTCACAGATCCTAGGGTACAGATCATGTTCAAACACCATCTTATGTCGCTCGAAATGAATTCCAAACACTTTGAATCCTCGTTAATGTTCACATATGAATGTCCATCTGTGTACAGACCCTGGAGTGCTGCATTGATCTCTCACCATATTTACAGTGCTTGTCCTCCGCGCCTGTACTACGAGTCGGGGATAATGTAGTGTGCAATGTGCGCATGCATCTTGTATTTGTCTTGTATTACCTCTGAGATTTGGATCTGATTATTGATCTAATGTTGGTTTTCAGAAGCAGTGTGAAGTATCGTCTCACTGTGTCGACATGTCAAGCTTCAAGCCTCGACATCACCTTGTCAAGTCCAATGCACCCTCTATACTTTGTACTACTACCGTGTCAAGCTTCATTCAGGCTGGCTCAAGCACCACTCAAGTTCCCCAAAACGTCTTTGCAGCCTCCGTACTAATGTCAACCTCCACACTTACCTATGCCGCGTCAAACCTCATCCATGCCGCGTCAAACCCCACCTTGCGCGTCGGTACTTCAACTGTCCGTGTAACTTAGGTGTATTTTCAATCTGTCATAATAATTGATTTCCTAACAGTGTCTCCTTTCGTCCCAACAGAATTAGTGATCCCCATCTGCGACATACCGAGCTTTCACCAGTAGTTCAACTTCACTGGATGCGCGGGTTTTGGGAGGAGGATTTTGCCTTGAATTCCTTGATTGATTGTGTTTACTCGTTGTTTCAAGTTGATATAGTTAAAGTTAAGGATCAGTCTGAGCAAAGTAGGGTGCGATAGGTAGTTGGAAGAAGGGTGAGTCCCGCCGTGGCTTCGTTTAGCTAGATAACTGACAACGGTCATACCCTTCACCGTCGCGCCTCGACTTATTTGCTGCTGTGTTGACTTCAAGCGCTAAGCATTGGGTGGGCGCCCATGACGGAACAACGGGAAAGCCAGGATTCGCTGCCAGATAGTTACTCGAGAAAGGCTATCATGATGGTATACCTCGTGTAAAACATTGAATTAAACAACCATATCCCGAATACAACATCTTTGAAAATACAGCGGTTCTTGCCAACCAGACGCGGATCTGATTTCAAGGCTATGAAAGGATATCGAGACTCGTGCGTGCCAGTCTTTTATTCTGCGACTTCCAGCAGTTACTTCCTTAACTACACTTGCTTCACATCTTGTCTGCATAGCATATACCTCTCTCCTGACCATCTGAGTCCTTGTGCTTCCAGACTCAAAATTTTGACACCATTACTGAGTTAATATGCAGGAACATTTCCGATAGGAACAAATCGAAGTAGATTGGAAAATGCCGCTGTAGGTAAGGGAGCACCGTATCCTGATAGTCTAAGTCTAGGTTGGCTTCAATGGTACCCGTCTGCCGGTCAGAAACGGCGATTTGTATCCGTAACGCGAAGTTAGTCAATTAAAATGTCGTTTCCCCCTCCATGATTGATCAGATCCATAGGAAAACGGATGACCGCCACAGTTGTCTCTGAAACCTTGCTGTACGTAGTACTAGTAGTTCCGCGTGTATCAGAGATTAACAGCACTATCTGCGACGAAGAGTAAAAACTGAGGATCATGGTCTTGGCTAAATAAAGTTAATTGCATGCATAGATCTGGCCAACCTCGAGCTCTAGTCACTGGCATCAATCAAGATCTATGCATGGTCGATGGGCCCACCGAATCGTCGTTGTCTTCGTCGGATCGGAATCGACACCGATAGCTTGAATTTACCCCTTGCAATTAATGATGGTCGGGGACTTGATCGTTTCATTTTAATGTGACGGCCTTGTCAGTTAGGGCCTCAATACCTTCGAATGCCGAGAATAATGCCTGGACAGGGGTGATGGACAGAATGCCGTCGACGGGGAAGACACCGGGCGACTGTTGATCGGGATCATCACAAGCCCGACAGTGCCCGCCACTGGCACTGAGTGCAAGAAGACAGTGGTTCTTTCATATCAATCATCAAGCTCTGCGACTCGGAATCTGGTGTTATCGTATCATATTTCATTTGATCTGCATTCTGATGTACGATTTCCTGTAATTACGCTAGCAACAAATCCATGACAGCTACAATAAACACAGCGAGAGACAGTTAATGATACAGATAATTTGTATGAGACGAATATTGTTGGGATGTATGCAGTGGATATAATGCAGGTCAGACCGACAAACTTGGCTTATCAGAAAGGGAATATATGCGATGTTTGCGACGAGCGAGTAGTTCTCTGGATGGACTCGAAGGGGGGTCGCTAGATAGGTCATGCGCCATTCTTCGCGGAGCTGGTGATACCAGATGTTGGGGAGGAACCTCGAGGGCATGAAGATCATCATCTGATCCTTTGGATGGATCACGTGTAGGCCCAATGAGCATGATAGAATCATCTGATCAGAATGATTAGCCACATGTGATGATCGAAGTCAGATTTTCACTCACCACTACCCGCCATCTGTATGTCCTCCAGAGCTCTCAGGGGCGACGAAGATAGTTGTTCCTCCAAGGTAGTGGAGTCCGAGTCCGAGTCGTCCCAGAGCCTCATCCTCTTCTGGCAACTACCATCAGACTCATCTGTTTCAAGCAAAGGCAAAGAACGCGTGCGTCGCATGCCTTTGCTGGGCGTGGTCACAACGGATAGATGCTCAATACTGGCCCGACGCTGCATCTGCCACCGAAGACGAACTTCCTCAAGGGGAGGGAGAACAACAGCATCCATGAGCACGCGTTTCCGCTTCTTGCAGACATTGACAACTGGAGTTGAACAGAGATTCGACACCGACGATCTACTCGGGGAGAGAAGACTCGCCACAACCTGTTCGTCCTCGAAATCACTATCTCCATCAACGCATGGAAACTCGATGGAAGAACGAATGAATGTTCCACATGCTCTCCTTCCTTTCTTAGTGATATCGTCCAAAGGGTCGTCAAGTAGTTGTCGCTGTCCAATCACGGATAAGGTTTCCTTGCTCGGAGAACTGTTCGCGATGCGTTGCATGACCGACCGAACAGGTGACATATTTTCCTTGTCCTCGAGCATCCGCCGCTTGCCTGGTGACGCACTGCATGGCGTCTTTTCTAACTTGGTTGGTAACCTCCGCGGGGTCGATGGAGGAACTGAAGGTAATGGCAGAGTCGAAGCGGGTGAACGAAGCAAGAGCGAATGGAATGATTCTGGGGTAGTCGAGGGCTTTTGGGGGCGAGGGGGCGTCTCAGCACGGTTGTGACGTTGCGTCGGCGTCGTTGGAAGGAAGATGGAAGGAAATAGTGGAGAGTCGGACTCTAAAGTTTCGAAAGGGGAAAAGAGTGCGGGTCCGAGCCGACCGACGAATGGCGAGACATTAGTGAAGGGGTCTGATGAGGGCAAGTCATTTTGATCAGAGACGAATGGCGAATCAAGCTCGGGAGTTGTTTGAGAGCTGGGGTATTCATGATCATCGCTGCCTAGGCTATCAGATGAAGATCCTGACTCGGATTCTTCCACCTGAGGAACAGTCTCGGAAACTTCTATAGCCACTTCCTCCGCTGTACACGGTTTGGAACACCACTCGACGCAAGCTTGAATCCTCTTGGGCCACCCTCCTTCTGGCTCCTCGTGGCTAGCGAAAGTCGACTGCCAGAATTCTTCAAACGATTCATATGCAATCGAAGGCTTGTCGCCACGACCGTAAAACACGGACTCGATAAGAGCTGATAGCGTGTCGAGCACATAAACACTCCTCGGAAGTTCTTGCAAGCCCAACAAAGAAGTTTGATACAGCGGGAGCAAATCCCCAGTATATTCATCTTCATTGAACACGTGGAATTCATCCGATATCCAAAGACTGATGCCCTCTTGAAGCGTCTCCAAAAGATTCAGTCGAAGTTCCGCAGGGCACGCGTCAACCACGCGGATCAATGATCTTATCATCCAGATCGACGTCACTTTGTTCCGAGGCTCAGGCGGATATGTGGACTGCAACGTATCGTTGACAAAGTCAAATATGTATGAGGGAAGCTGGCGGGCGTCAGCCATGTCGAGGTGCGTGAGCAGTAGATCAGCAACGCGAGTCGATGATGCATAGGCGGGACATGGGTTCTCAGAGACGATCTCTGCCACACGATCGAGCACAGCGGAAGCGTCGATGCCGTAATCGAGAGCTTTATTGACTGCATGCTGCAGGAAGTTATCCCAGATGTCAAATTCGTCGTTGGCCATATCCCATGCGTTTGATTTCCTGCAAAGAGGTGAGATCTTCTAAAGGACACAAAACAATAAGAATACATACCCGAAAGGAACACCGAGTAACAAGGCGGCTCCTTCCCAAGAGCCCTCGGCGTCCTCGGTCCACTTCTCAACGAAGCAGCTCCACACGAGGCTCTGAACTCCTGGCTCATAGGACATCAGGGCCATAGCACACGATCTCTTTGCCCAGAATTCTCGCAAGTCGTCCACTTCGCACACGACTAGAACTTCTGCGCAGAGGTAGGCCCATTGTTTCCTAGCATCATCCGGAGAATCCGTTTCCCAGACGAGGTCGGCTTCGTCCTCTATCAAACACGCAAGGAGTCTCGCACCAGCAGAATGAAGCACATTATTGGGGAAAGTGGTCCGTACCACGGTCCACAAGTCCCGGGTGACAACTAGCTTGAGAGCGGTATTGGACCGGGACAGTATCGAGGTTCGCCTGGGGGTAACTCTGACTCCGCTGATAGGACTACTGGCTTGCTGAGATGGAGGAGGTCCAAACTTGGCCGAAAGGTCGAGCTTAGGATCACGAAGAATGTCTACAAGTATTGCGGCAGCTTTGGACGCAAAGTACAGTAGTTCCATGGTCGTCGTTGTCATCTAAAGCCAGTATGAACATCGAACGAATGAATCGCCGGCCAATGCCCACCTTGCAAGACTGCCACGTTGGCCTTCAGAAGGCCTTCCCAAATTGACAAGACATCGCCCTATGTTTGATATCAGTCGTGCAAACAAAAACCCGGCGTACAACTGACCGGTGTTCCACTATCCTCTGGCAGCTCAAGGCATCCAAGTCCAGATCTCCAGATGTGAATGAGGTCGTCAAACACCCAACTGTAAGACAGTTCGTCCCTCGTCAGGGACCGAATATCGCTCATCTGAGGACATTCCTCCAATATTGGTCTCACGGCGCTAGCCAAAGTCTTGTATTCCGCTGTAAGAAGCCCCGGATTTGATGAGAAAAGGGAATGAGGAAGAAGCTTGTTCATGGTCCAATTCTCCCCGGTGTTTTCGAAGCTCACTAAGATCCTCGCAATCTCCATTCCGTCGCCACAGGTTTGACCGCCCTTTTTTATCATGGCTTTGACCAGGGTCAGGGTCTTCCGCAGGCGATCCTCATCTTCGGAATCATCGCCCAAAAGAGCAGCTACCGTTGAGACACCGGCACCCATGTCGGTAATGGATTTGAGAAGTTTCCAGTAGTTCTCGCGAAGAAGTTCAACGTCCTTGTCGTTCACATCTTGGACGTCATCTTCGCCATTGGAGGCTGTCGATGGGGGCGAACGGAAGTAGGACCAAGCAACACAACGCCACGTAACACAAGCAAGTCCTCGTACTGAACTCTTCTTATTGCGTACTGCGAGTTGTAGCAGCGCCGAGATTACACGCGTCAATCGAACGTCCAGGTACACTGCTGGCCCCAACAAAACAATGAAGCTGGCAATGACACTAAGGGCCCAGACAGGCCCTTGGGCTGCATGTTGGGGCTCTAGCGCGTTCAGCGTTGTGCGGAGCGTACGAATGATTATCGGGTCTAACGATGGTTTCGTTGGGGTCTTGCGCGGAGAAGAGGATCGTTGAGTTGTTGTAAGGAAAGTAGCTACTGCTTTGGAGATACGAACGTGCAATGACGATTGCGGGATAGAGACGCAAGCTAGGGCGAAACCTCCGAGCGCGTGACAAGCTTGAGTGCGGAGAAGCAAAGTTGGCGCGAGCAAGTTCGCCAGTATAGAAGGGAGCAACTCCGTGAATGCAGGTACGAAAGTCGAGGGTTGATACATGGAAAGATCATGAATAGCCTATAGCACAAGGTAAGCACCAAACTGAAGCCAGAATGACTTTGTTAACCTTTAGGCCGTCGCAGGCAGATCCTTTCTTGCCTTCTTTGCCTAGTTCACCTTCCATACCTCGGCGTAGAGCAAAAGCAATTCTGTCTTTCGCTGGTAAGAGGACTTCCTCTGGTAGGCGCTGAGCTTGCAAAAGCCATATTGACAGTGCACACGTTTTCCGGGCGTTGGGAGTAGGGAGCACATCAGCCATGGGAATAGACAAAACGGCGGTCAACATTTCGCCCAATTGAGCGTCTTGTAAAATGTCAGGCTACATGCTTCAGAACGCCATGGAAACGCACCTGTGAAGATGCGATAGACAGCAGGAAGTGTAAAGACCGATCCAAGTAGCCTCATTACAGCGTGCGAGGTAGTGCAGAGGTCACGCGCGTATTTTGCCTGTCCAGCCGACATACCGCGTTTTTTCTTCTTAGGACTCTTTTTCGGAGAAGGTAGGAGCGAGGGAAGTTCTTCCTCTTCCTCATGAGCAAATGGAAACTCTTCACTTTCACTTTCAAGTTCAGAAGACTTGGGCTCCACAAGCGCTTTACCGAGGTCACGGCATACCGCGTCAGTGAATAGCTGCGTATTCTTACGAAGTGGTTGAAATAGAGGCCAGGAAGCGTCCGTGTCGGTTGTACCCGCCACTGCTGACCTAATGCGGGCAGCGAGGACGGCATAGGCGTCGATGAGATCGGTGAAGGAGGTCTCCGACGCAAGAATTTGGGAGACTGGACGTGTAAGATACGACAGGTTTACAAGCGGGTCTTCCGGTTCTGGAGTTGCCTCTCGTTGACCCTGCTCTGACACGGTGAGGAGATTTGATGTTGATCTCTTGAGAATAGACTTTGTGGGACACTGGCGTGATGCAGTTGGTGGAAAGGGAACGTGACCCTTTGGACTTGTAAGAATGTGGTATTGGTTCTGTTGAGTCCAGGAAACATGAGAGCCAGGAAAGCTAGTTGTTTCCTTGTCCCTATGAGACGTGGCAGGTGGTGTAGGCAGACTAGTTAAGACTGCCATGTCGATAGTAAATACTACGACGTTAATTGAAGGTGGCAGATGGTGGTGAAGGTCAACGTCGTAGTCTGTATTCGGAAACCAAGCGCGACCCAAATATTAAAATATTTGCAATTAAACGCGCCAATTTACGCGTCGCGTGCAATATTTGCACTTGTTTGGCATCGTGTCCATGGGAAAATGGCCCAGTGGCCCAATTTGAGGGTCATTCAAGTCTGGACTGCCTCGAAACCGAATGACAGAGGGGCTGTACTGTTTGAGGCAGCAGCTATGTCCAGTTATCTCCACTATCCTGGCAGATACATTTTGAGAAGGTACCACGCGTTTTCAACGTTGTTCGACACTCAAAGCAAGACAATATATTTACAGACGCCGCCTTGCGAATTTTAGTCAGAAGCTGAGACCAGCTTGCAAACCGGACTAGTTTACAGCGAACGATCATAGTGGAGTTGGGGATGCTAGATCGAAATATCTTGGAGGCGGGTACATCAGCCCAGTAGTGACCTTACCCAGGGTGCGCTGCAGGGCAGAAACTTGAAAGTGGTAATGGGTTATCCAGATGACGTGATAACACGAGGCATAAGATTCATCGACCCTCACAATCAGTTGGAGGATTGCTGCAAGAACCTCCGCTGACATTCATAGCGGAAGAAGGTGCGAGCAACGAGCCAATAAGTGTATTGATGATAACTTACGAGATTTATACTTGATTCAGTCCGATGGAAACCTGCGGCTTCCGATGACCCCACGAATGAAAGGCTTGTAAAAGTTCAAGGTACCGATAAGTACTAAATAACCGTACTGGTAAAGCTTCTGCAGCCCCCCCTCTTCCGATCACACGTATACGTTGATGTAACGGCTGATTGTGACTCTGAAATGAGAGCATGAAGTCATTGTCTTAGGCACATCGCGATGTTTAAGCCGCTGTCACTCCGAGAGCGCTTCCAAATAATTAACACCTCGAAGTTGTCTCGAAGTTCGTGCAATGCAATCGTTTCAAAGTTGAATTGCCGCGTGCATGCTGCAGTACAGAAGATCTAACCACAAGCCGAACTAGAGAGAACCAAGTCTGGATTCAAGATCGACTGCCCGCTGGCAACGCACTAGTCTGGCTTCTTACGTTTCTTACCACAGGGTCACGCGGCTACTATCCAGTAAGTACAAATACCAGCTCGTCCAACTTTCTAAAGACCCATCAAGCAGCTTCTCACCAACTCACGATCAAACTTGAATCACTCTAACTCTTCAATACTCATCATGATCTCATTCACGACTTTCATCCTTACCCTCTTGGCTCTCTTCAGCCTCTCCCTCTCTGCTCCTATGCGCAGAGATGTCTTCGTCCCTCCAATCATTTACCCACGAGCTAGTGTGGTCTGGATAGCTGGTCAACATCACAATGTTACCTGGTCAGTGCTTCTTCCTTCTCGTCTTCGCTTATCGTCGATCTCATACCGGATACAGGGAGACCGATGATGCACCCGTAAACATTACCAATGGGATCGGCAGGGTATATCTAGCTACCAACACCATCATTGATCTGGGTAAGCTTCCTATCTTCCCATTTCATATCCGACTCGGGCTGAGTAAATGTCTCAGACCATCCCTTGGCAGTTGGTTTCAACATCTTGGATGGTCGTGTTGCCATTCAAGTACCGTCTGTGCCTACAGGTCAGAATTACTCGATTGTCCGTAAGTCCATGATTCCATCCTAGATTGGTGTGCACAAGCTAATTGGCATCACTCGTAGTCTTCGGTGACTCGGGCAATTACAGCCCACAATTCACCATCGTCGGCCTTCAGTAATCGGTACCCTACCACGTCCTATCTAATCACGCGACGAACAAGTAATGCCAATGTTGAACATAGAGCGCGCAGGTGTAATCGTGCTCCCTTTAATGCGATGGACTTTGTAATAGTTATGCACTCGGATCTTACTGGACAAATTGTAGTTTAGTGGCGACAAAGTCGCTTCGAATCTCATCTGTGATGATTGTACTTCTTCCGTTCATTACGATGCTCAGTCTGCCGGCGGAAGCAGAAGGCGATACGTGCGGGCCTAGTAGTAATCGGGGCCTTTTCTGTTTGAGTGGTCACCACACTAGTTCGTTTTTCATTGAAACTCGGCTTCGAACTTCGAGAGAAAGACCCAGCGAGTGGCTACTACGTACGCGGATGGCTCATTGCTAAGTCATCCAAGACCATATATCATCATCAGGATTGACTTATTCAATACCCATACATGCAGACTCGGATTCATGAGCTATGGTCGACAGAGAAAGTCCCAGCGTGAAACTCGTGTAAAAAAACACCATCGAATCACTAATTTAATGGGATAATTCGCTCGTAAGGTCGATGTTTGACGGTCATCATGATTACTTAGAGCCTGGTGGTATCGTCTTGGTCTAGCGGCAATGAAGTGTCATTGAGGTATGCACTTCCACAGAATGACTCGATCCGTGAGTACGTAGACCGAGCTCGATATACAAAAGGGGATACGAACAATTGCAAGTGGTCACTGCTGTGGGTGAACGCCGCGGTGTTCTGTTCAGGTTTCGGCACCCCCTTGCTGCTAATCATCACGCATCCAAGGTAAGTAAATACAGTTGCGTCGGAACTATCTGTACAATCTAATGCTTCTTTGAAGCTTCAGACATCATAATCATGGTCAAATATTGTGGATATCTAGTGCCAGACGAGTGGATGTACCAGCGAGGCGTTGAGTTGGGTTATCCCCGCCCCGTGACTGTAGAAGACAAAATGGATATGCTTCTCCTGGCTTCGAGGGATCTCATGACGGAGACAGGCGTTTACTGCTACACCAAATTTCGTCATGTAAAAACCGCCAAGGGGACCAAGTTTTGGTGCATCGCTTTCGCCTCAAACGATCCTTCTGAAAGGTTACCAACCAGCTCACCGTCGGAGGAAAGATACAAGGCTTTGAAGGAGGTGCTGCAGAGGAAAGGCCCGCCCGGCTGGTACCAAGCTTCTTGAAACAAAAGGTCAGTGACTGTGCACATTGCCAATGAAAACAATGTTGATTCCGAAACCAGACTCACGGTTTGCATTCGTCGCCAAGCCCTGGATTCCCAGGACGGCAGATCCAATTACTTAATTGCCGTTATTCCAGACATGATCGCGAGTAGTTCGTAACTGCGTCCATCGCAATTCAAGCCTGGCCCTCCGGAATCCTTATGAGATACCAACAATCTGGCTGGAAGCGTCAGCAGCTACACAGTGCGGTTCTATTAGATGGTGACAGGGCAACGAAGTGAAATCATGACATTTGAGAAAATCAGGGGCAAGTCGCGGCAGGGTCGTGATATTCACTACTAGTGCGCTCTCAGCTGATCCAGACTGAACGTTATGTGATGAGACTAGTGGCTAAATCTTCGGCGTGAAGATAATGCTTCTTTAAACCTTCAGGCATTGTAATCATGGACAAATATTGTGGATATCTTGTGCGAGACGAGTGGTTGATCCAGCGAGGCATTGATTTGGGTCATCCGCGCCCCGTGACCGCAGGAGATCAAATGGACGTGCTGGCGTCCTCAGACGCCATGATAGCGACGAACGTTTACTGCTATACCAAATTTCGTCGCGTGAAAACCTCCAAGGGCCCGGGACCAAGTTTTGGTGCATTGCTTTCGCCTCGAAAGATTCTATCTCAGAAAGGCAACTACCAACCAGCGCGCCGCCGGAGGAAAGATACAAACAAGGCTTTGAAAGAGGCGCTGCAGAAGACAGGCCCACCTCGTTGGTACCAAGCTTCTTGAAATACTATGTCAGTGAGTCATGCCAATGGAAGCGACTAATATTCATTGCGAAACCACAGTCTCGTCGCCTTCATGACCTGCCACATACTGTTCAAGCCCTCGAATCCCAGGACAAGTGGCACATTGGCGCATATAATCACTTTCTTGTCGTTCTTCCAGATATGATCGCGAGTAGTTCGTAAGCGCGTTGATCGTCATTCAGGACTGACCCTCAAAAAACCAACAAACCAGCCGCAAGCGTGAGCAGCTACATGCGATTTCTAGATAGTGACAGGGTAATGAGGTGAAATCCTGACATGATGTAGGGGATAAAAGTCTGCGATCGGGGGGTCCAGAAAACACTAAGGTAACGCTACAAGTAGGTACGGTATTCAAGCTAATCAGTACTCAGGAAAGGGAAAGAGTGGGTGGTAAAGTACCCGGCTGATGGCGACATGGAGTAGCTATAGCAATATTAACAAGTAAAAAGGGGTTGGACAGGAGTGAGAAATAACAGGTCAGAAAGTACATGTGATGTCTACTGTATAGCTAATAGCTCGAAGTAGCCGGCACAAGTGAAGAACGTGTTCACAAGAGAATGGACGGTGTTAGAGGCTGGTATTCTGAGTTGTAAAAAACGCTACCCTAGGTATATGACAGTAACCCGTATATAAGACATAGAGACGACGAAGATCTCAGGTAAAGTAGGAATAAAGTAGTCGGCCGACAACGAATGTGTACGCCTGACATCGGGCGGTTAGGCATAGCGACTGTCAAAGATAGAGAAAATGTAAGGAGTGTATGCTTAACAAAGAGTCAACACGAATGACGAAGCAAATAGAATTGAAACCGGAAATCGTGGCCGATAAACTGTGGCCGTTGCAGTATACTGGACACTTGATAGCACCACCGTTACACATATATACCTCCTTTTTCACTGGGTGTCCACGACCGCCGAGGTCGAGCACTTTTCCATGATAAGGTCGCGCAGAATCTTGCTTGACTGTGCAACGCGACGAGTAATGTCTTCCGGAATGTCTGGATATTCCTGAATCGTTGTGACACATGCATGGCCTGAGAGATGCATGTTTGTGAATATCTCCTTGTGAGCATCCCACCAGCTCTCCATGATGGGAGTCTCAGACTCCAATCCTGTGACGACGACGACGATTGGGACTCTCTTCTTCCGGCAGGTCCCAGAGTAAACAGTATTGTAGGTGTTAAGGATGGCGTGAGGGGCAGTCGTGTTGTGCACGCAGTACACCAGAAGGTCGATACCGTCCGATGGTGACTTGTGGCTCATGAGCTTGTCCAACAAGCTCGTCAGCTGTTGCTTCGCTTGCTTCTGTGGCACCGTGCCTGCAGTTCCCTCATTGAGACCCGCAGTATCAAACAGGGCGAATTCCTGGCCGGAAATGTGTACTGAGTAGCGTTTAGATTCAAAGGTGCATCCAAGTGCATCATTGGAGCTCTTCGCGACCTGCTTTTGCGCGATAACATTGATCATAGAGCTTTTCCCTGAGCCGGTTTCGCCGAATATGACAACAATTTTTTCCCGCGGATGCGTCTGCTACGTGATATCAATAAGCTTTCTTTGTGGTGATGTGAGTCGAGAAGCGGAGCACGTACTTCGCGTTTGCTCGATGGCGCAGGTGAAGCCTGTTTATCAGAAGATTGCACCACCGCCGGGGAGTGTGTAGGTTGACCATTCGTGACGCTCTGAAAAGTTCGATTGAATTAGCAATAATCATAAAGCCTTGAATCGATTTTATACCTCATCAGTACCGCCCGCTTTCAATTTGAGGGACATGCGCTGATTATTAACATTCGAATGTAATGCTTCGGAATCGCCGATGTCAGCCGGCGATGGCGTTGCTGAAAGTGACGACTCACTAGGCTGTCCGTCTTCTGCGAGCAATTGTTCGAAAGTTGTGTCAAGCGCACACACAACCTCATATTGATCGAGCATTGGTCCAGGCTCATATGAAGCGCGAATTTCAAGGTGAACTGCTTTAGATAATTTGAAGAAAGACATAAACTTCTGTAAAAACGTTTGAGGGCGTTCGCGTATGGTGAGGATCTGGTTCCAAGACACGCTGCGGTTGGCCATTGCCGCCTTGGTGGTGTTACACTGGCCATAGGGAGTAGACACATGGAGATAATAGCCTGCGGGCATGTTATCAGATGGCATGGGAAGGCCCGTAGCAGTAATAGACGTGAATATCATAGCTAACGCCTATATTTGAGGCGCTGCCTTGCTTAAAGAGTGACAAGAGGCTGACGGCCTGAATTGGTGAAATATAAAAAATGAAAGCAGGGTATTAAGTGGTCTTTGTAGTAAGAACTAATGGAGCTTTATATACCTCTCCGAGGCAACCGTAACGCGTCACAGCCTGTGGCATTGGTTGCGTACTCCACCTTAAACATCTTCGATCGGTCATGGGCATCTTGACCGGAGAACTTTGAGAAATGCATTCCCATGAGTAGGCGATCGAGATTGGATATCGGATGATGACTTAGACTACACGCGTACAAGTAAATCACGTGCATCTAGCGTAAATAGAAATCCACTGCGGACGTCATAATCGATCTCTTATCCACAGAAGAATAAACGACAGCTTATTGTATCTTTTATTATTGAGCCATTTTTCATTAACAACGACGTCTGAATGTCAACGATGACACTCTCACATCAGAGAACCGGTGAGCAGGCTATTCTATTACTGTCAGCCTTTTCCCCCGCCCTTTCCGGTTTCTTCCTCCTCTAAGCAGGTCGCGGCTTCTTCCTTTCCCTTCGCAGCTTCTCTGGTTTCATACGTTGCAATAATGGTTTTATTGGTTGTAACACTTGTTCCTTGATTGTGTTCGATCGCAACTTGACGATCAGACGATCGAGATTCAGCGGTACTAGCAGGCGTTGAGCAGGGTCGTGATACTGTGTCGAGTCTGAATCAGACTAAATGTTAGGTTCACTAGTAAAGGGACTGATTAAATCACCGACGCGAAGATATAGCATCCATCAACTCACTTTTTTACGGGTTACTTAAACTCCGCCGCGGCTGCATCAACCCACGACGGGTCAATTTGCAATTTGACCGTCCAGTCATCCACGTTCAAGTATATAGGATTCCCAGTCTTGCGGTCATAAACGCGTAGTCGCCAGAAAGGAAAGCAAGCTGTAACAAAGCTGTCAGTAATAGCATGAAGCTACAGAGTGGGGTGTAACCTGCCGCATCTTCAAGTTGTCCGAGATGCCCAACGTTTAAACTCATGATGAGTAGTAGTGGCGATTCGTGAAGGCGTTCCATCCCCTCCTGGAGCGCTTAACAGTTTGATCTCGGCTATTCCTGTACCGAGCGAAGTAGTGACAAAGTTCACGTCGATAAACTCCTCGCGAGACTGTCCGTGCCCGCGGCGATGAGTTCTCGAAAGCTAAAGGAAAGATTGAGTGCATACACTTGATGATCAAACCAGTTATTGAAATACCAGAAAGTGAGTCATCGACGTACTACATTTGAATGCGTTCAAGTCATGCCGAAAGCATTAACACTGCGGAAACGAGAAAATAGTCGTGCCTTATTCCGAGACCAATACGTTGTATGAACGTACCCAAACCCGCGCACGCGTCAACTAGTAAACCCCACCCAAAATCGATGTGCTGCAAATTTTGAGAGATCCTGGGAACGCCACAAATGTAAGCGGACCTTTTTCCCTTATCAATCGACGACACTCATCCCAGATAGGACAAAGGCTTGTGATACGTTGATGATCGATGCCTCCGTCTTATCAGGAAATGTTGTCGATATAACGTTGCAACAAACATGTACAGTTTGAAAAGTTTCGTGAAGAGATGAGCCATAGCCCATGCTGTCCCTACACTTCGAAGTTGAAAGTTCAAGTGAATGTGTAGGATACAGCCAGCCTGGGTGCATGCAGTGCGGTGGTGTATCTTCAAACGGAGTTGACAAAGCTGCCCGCCTGCTTGCCCTGCAGTCCTCCATTACGCCGCCACAAAGTACCCGCTGCCTGAAGTGCCCACAGCCTGCCCTGCAACGGCATCTTTAATATCAATATAGGCGCTACAGTGACCCAAACCATGCCTGCCAGTGAGGTCAGCATGCTCACTACCTTGCCTGTGCGCCCTTCCTGGTCTTATTCCCCCTCCCCGAGTACTCACTGACTGTTCGTGTGCATCTCCCACCTTTTCTCGTCCCCCCTTCCCCGTTGTCGCCCTCTTGCATTGAAATACCCAACGACTCAGTGGGCTACACCTCAGCACTTTTAAACAAGTTGAAATTGCGGGAGGTGCTGGCAGTAGCTTTGCCGTACTGCCAGGTTTGCGTCTGAATGCATCCGAGTGTACACTCTGCCGTTCTGCTTCAAGTATTGTTATGGCAAAGTTCTATGGGTATCTCAGACTCTAGAGGTAGAGAAGTTGTACCGGGACACCACACAAATCAACAAACCGAAAGTGGTGTTCCGCAATCGATTTTGACTTTATCATTCCCGGTACGTACATGACACTGACAATTCGTCAATCTGAGATATACTTCGAATTCTAGAGATGAGGGACATTATACTATGTCAAACACCCACAGGTATTCCCAAAACACCCATGTTCACTAAATTGTTGTGGATCGTACGTAACCGGTCTCTAGAGCGTGCAAGATCAACTCGAATAATGGAATTCCACTTTGGCTCTCGGTCAGGGCGGTGTTCACCAGGGGCTTGATAGTTTGGGTCTTTTGTAGCAAGATTGTGCATGGTCCCATAGACTTCGGTACGGTGAATTTTGGCGCTGCGCCAGTATGGCCCTGCGATATGATCGGTCATGATATGTACTGCAGATAGATAGTACGGGCAATTTACCTGCAGCCGCAAGGGCCAACATGGAATTCCTGTTCGGATCCTGGAGAAACACGTGTGCTGCCTGGTTGACCAGGTCAGCGGAAGCTTCTACAACCCGCGAAAGAATCTCCGCTTCCAGCTCGTCACCCGCCAGACTCCTACTGCAGAACCGCTTCACTTCAACGAGAAGGCCAACGCTCGCCGCAGTAATCCTCCATCCTCCATAGCGGGCCTTCAGCACAGGCTGTGGCTGAGCCACTGCTGTAACATGGAGAACCACAAAATCCACAATGACGCTGGCAGCATCCTTCTCCGGGACGGTCGATGTGAAAGAGATGTCGCCCCGCCCCAATTCCAAACTGTTCGTGGTCGTCTTGGTTTTCTGAAGCTGCCGACTCGGAGTCCGAGTCCTCCTTTTCAAACGGCTGTACGAGTATCTCCTCAGGATCATCACCATCATTTTCACCCTCGGGATCATCTACTGGTACAAACCAAACAGGGAATTGAGGGGCGACAATTAGATTCGAGACATCTGCCACTAGATCAGAGAGTGTCTGATCCCACAGGGGATACCATAGAAATTCCACATTCCTAGGGTTCAAAGTGCGCGAAAACGCGAGGGAAGTCTCCAAGATGGTTTTGTATCATATCAATGGATTATTAACACGTCCAGGGAGAATCCAGGACTCGGAGGGCCGCGGCATCGCGAATCGGTAGGTGGCTGGTAATTCCAATTTCGTGTCAGCCAATGTGTTATATACGTAGTGCGGACTTCGAGTTCTTATGGAGAACAATGTGGATACCATTGTAAAACATTTAGAGCGATAGACAATGAAAATAGGTTTTGATCCTTGCGGGCGTTGTTCACCATTCTTGTAGTACCAGTCACAAATCGCGACGTGGTAATTAACGCACAAAAATATCAAATTTCTGACTCGAAAGACTAAAGGAGATAAGAACAATTGGTGGTTGAACACAATGCGGTGATCGTTCATGTGTTGTATCATTTGTTTAAACGTTTACCACTTGCCACTGCCAGCCTGGCAGCGACCGTGTTTCTGCTTAATTGAAGCACGTGCCTGGTCACATGACATCCCATATAAAGGGACAGACTTGGTTGAACAGAATCAACACCTCTCGCTGCTAATCATCGCGAATCTGAGGTAAATACAGTCGCATCGAAACCGTTCTCTGCGATCTGATACTTCTTCAAACCTTCAGGCATCGTAGTCATGATCAAATATTGTGGATATCTAGTGCAAGATAAGTGGCTGCTCCAGCGAGGCGTTGATTTGGGTCATCCGCGTCCCGCGACTGTAGGAGACAAAATGGATATTTTTTGTTTGGCCTCGAGGAGTCTCATGACGGAGACGGACGTTTACCACTACACCAGATTTCGTCATGTGAAAACCGCCAAGGGAACCAAGTTTTGGTGCATTGCATTCGCCTCAAACGATCCCTCCGAAAGGTTACCAACCAGCTCACCGCCGGAGGAAAGATACAAGGCTTTGAAGGAGGTACTGCAGAAGAAAGGCCCGCCTGGCTGGTACCAAGCTTCTTGAAACAACGTCAGTAATCACACACATCGGAAGAAATTAATGTTTATTTGGAAGCCATAGTTCTCGTGGCATTCACGACACCCTGCCACATACGCGGTCAGCCTTGAAGCCCTCGAATCTCAGCCCTCAGGATGGGTGTGGCACGTGTGTGTTCTATCTTGCCGTTATCATTTCTTCTATCGGTTCAAGGAGGTTGCCGAGGATCCATCATTAGCCCCCCTTCTCCCTGTTTTTCTGCCCTAGAGGAATACCTTGTTGAACCTGTGTCAATACATATCTCGCTGTAGCGAGAATCATTGGGGAGCGTTGCGAACGAGAGTGTCACTCGTGGTCCATCTCAATTTGTGCATCTTGAACTGTCACATTGAACCTGCAATGTTTACTGGCAGTGCCCGCTCTTCTACTCAAACTAACATGGTCATGACCAGCCGTCTATTAAGTTGTATGCTATCAACACGGTTCCGTTCTGCAGCTTCTGCTGTCGTACCTGTCCAGGAGGAATTTCTCCACCCGAAGCGTGATTCTCAATGCTCAGACCGATCGGCTAAAATGACCGACTAGCTCACGATACTTGTTATCGACTCACTGGCAGTTGGGCGAGTATAAAAAGGAGCCCAAGCACCACCATTAACTTTCAGAAGCTCGGTCTGGCACTGAAAAGATCTATCAGACACTACCGGTGTACTGCCGTGGCACCATCCATCAAGATATCAAACCACCATGGTTGGCGTTCAAAGTTTTTCAAATATATTTTTGTGTTACGTCTATTGCAACCTGATCGAGGACTTGCGGTATTGAGGTTGTCATCGAGGTATGCGCTTGTTCAGAATAAGCCATTTGAATACTGAAGTAGATTCGAGCCACTCGACAGACCAAAGGGGATAAATGGGTGGACACTGCGATGATCGCCCATGTGTTGTTTCTATTGTTCTCCCAGTTGTACTTGCCATCGGCGACCTTTGTCCACGTTTGGTTTAATGCCCTAATCATCGCGAGCCCAATGTAAGCGCCTGCAGTCGTATCAGAACCGTCTCTGCAATCTAATGCTCCTTCAAAGCCTCAGGCATCGTAGTCATGGTCAAATATTGTGGATATCTAGTGCGAGACGAATGGTTGTTCTAGCGAGCCGTCGATTTGGGTGATCCCTACCTCGTGACCGCAGAAGACAAAATAGACATGCTTCTTGTGGCTTTGACATATATCATGATAAAAACGAACGTTTACCACTATACCAAATTTCGTTGCGTGAAAACTTACAAGGGCACCAGGTTTTGGTGCATTGCCTTCGCTGCGAACGATCCCATCTCGGAAAGATTGCCGACCACCACGCCATCGGAGGAAAAATACAAGGCTTTGAAGGAAGTGCTGTAGAAGAAAGGCCCGCCTTGCTGGTGCCAAGCTTCTTGAAAAAAATGTCAGTGAGCATGCACATCGCCAATGAAAATAACTAATGCTCACTGCGAAGCTACAATCTCGTCGCATTCGCGACCTGCGTCCAGACCCTCAAATTTCAAAACGGGTGGCACATTAGCACATGTAATTACTTTCTTGCCGTTCTTCCAGACGTAGTTCGTAAGCACGCCTATCGCAATTCAGGACTGACCCTCAGATAACCGATAAACCAGCCTGAAACGTGGGCAGCTACACGCGGTTTCTAGATAGTGACAGGGCAATGAGGTGAAATCGGAAATCCTGACATGATGTAGGAAAAAAATTAGGGGCAGGCAGGGTCGTGATACTCACGCAATCCTTCACTAGTGCGCTGAGTCTGAATCAGACTGTGATGAGGTTCACTAGTAAAGGGACCAGTGACTAAAACTCCGCTGCCAATCAACACACATGACGGGTCAATTTGGCCGTCCAGTCATCCACGTCACGTATAGTTTATAAACGCGTGGTCGCCAAAAAGGGGAGTGAGCTGCATAATGAAGCTGTCAGTAGTAGCATGGAATGCCAGGCTGTGTGTTACGTCTTGTCCGAAATGGGGCCCAGCGTTTAAATTCAGGCGCGCAATTATAAGTAGTGGCGAAGGCGTTCCATCCGCTCTCGGAGCACTTAGTAACGTTCGACGTTGGCTATTCCGGCATCGAGCGAAGTAGTGACAACAAAGTTCACAAAAACGACTCCTCGCGAGACTGTCCATGCCCACGGTGACGAATTCTTGGAAGCTAAAGGGAAGATTGAGTACATGTACTTCATGGTGAAACCAGTGGTTGAAATACTAGAAAGTGAGTCGTCGACGTACTACATTTGAATTCGTACAAGCCATGCCGAAAACATTGAGCATGCAAGGCTTACACCATGACTTGAAAATACTCAAACATCATTACGCCAGCGTGCCAGGGCTATCATGACATAGAGTTAGTCTCGTCAGTTACTGTGATGTTGATAACACACATCCAAGTCTCAGACAATACAAACGCTTGCAATGTTCTTTTTGTATTGGAATCCAACGCCATACACAACATGCCTTTGTACATCGGATTGAGTATTACATGTATACTTGATGGAGAAATCAGCGAATCGATCAAAATTCAGAATACGAGTCATGCACGTACCGTACCGCTTTTGAATGTTTCCAAGTGACTAAGTCGTGTCAAAAAGTCTGAAATGCACGACCTGCATCGTCGATGTGTTGGGTCCAGGTCCAAGAGTCAATACTGTGACATAGAGGCGATGATATCAAACTCAATCCACTTAATAAAAGACCGCTATCGACTCATCCCAAATAAGACAATATACATCGATGAATTCGCATTCATTTCTTATCAGAAAATGTTTGTCGATATAATTTCATTGCAGAAAAACATGAACAGTTCACGGAGCTTAGTGGAGTGATATACCATAGGTTGCGTTGTGGTATACAACACCACTAAGCCCTTCAAACAAGTGCTTTGTATTTATGCTGCACTGGAGTTGACGAAATGAACAATGATTAGCCTTGAGGCGGGAGGGAGTCGACTAATCAATATGAAATTGCACTTGCGGACGAATGGGAGTGAGGAGGGAAGGTGAGAGTCTGTGAAGTGGGAATGGTCTTCGTAGAGGGAGACAAGAGATCGGAGGTTGGGAACTAGAGATGATGTCGAGAGAGGTGAGGGTTTGAACTACGAAGGTTTCGCCTTCATAGTCGGTGGGGAAGGTCTGGCTTTGCCAGACCGCGGCCGTAGGTGCGATCTGGGAGGGTTTTCGAGCGCGGTGTTCGGAATCAACGAGATGTCGAGAACGAGCCGAGCGCAGAGAAAAAACGAAACCTTCTGAGCGTGAAAAGGCTGGCCTAGAGTTGCGGGAAGAGGGAAGAAGACGGCGAAGAGGGAAAAACGAGACCACACCAAAACACGCTGGTGTATCGATAGAGAAAGGGAGGTGGGTGGGTGGACACAAGATTCGTGCTGGGAAGGTGAGGCCACGAGGCAAAAAAGATCTGAGGATCATTTCGGAGAGTGCTCGCTTATGTATCGGTGCGCACGGACTTGATCTATGCACATTGCTGTCAATTTGAGACACGTGCCCTTACAAAGCCCTAGCGTTCTCGCCCGTAGTATTGAGCGTTTAGGTTGGGTGTGGCTGTGCACTATCCAAGTTAGTCTGTCACGTCCGACATTCCCCTCCAGCCCACAGCTGCACTAGGATATGCCTCACAACACCCGATCACCAAGAAACCATCAATATCGCACCAAACCACTAAAACCAGCCTTACGACGCGCGCAATCAAAGCCTGTCCATAGTGATGCTCTAACAGAAGACGAGCACGAACACCATCACCCAGCATCTGAGTCTGAAGCGGGACCTGAGTTAGATGGCGACTCGGAGAGCGTTTCTGACGAGAGTGCCGGGGATGCCCAGGACGATGAGAATGAGGATGCGGATGCGCCTCGGGTGGTACAGTGGGCGGACTCGCAAGATGAGGACAGCGAAGGACTTTCGGAAGAGGAAACAGACGAGGATTCTAATGTTCTCCCCATGAAACCCTCCCAAGACCTGGTTTGTTCTCGTTCTCCTTTCGCACTGCACAGACATACTTATTTGTGCTTATTACTCTGAAGCGGTCTCTCGAAGACGGTGCGTATGATTTTTATTCTATATCTACAAATACCTGCACTCGTCTATGTGCAACTGACTTATTCTACTTATTTCTATTTTTATTTTATCTCTAGATCTATCTTCCCTACCTCTAGGAATGCTTCGCAAAGCCCAGCACGCCCTCTCTCAGACCCGCGCTCTAACCGATTCCGAATCAGAGTCCGAGTCCGACGCACCATCAGAAGAAGACGCATATCCAACCGACGACGAACGCCCACAATCAACTACATCCAAAGACAAAGACAAAGAACACCAAGACAAACACTCAAAACCGCGTAAAGACCTAGCCAAAAGATCTAGCAAGCACGCGTAAGCGCCCCTCCCCCTGTCACACCCGTCCCACTAATATCATCTCGCACAGCCCCACAGAAATAACCTCCAAACGCCCCATCACTCGTCGACGAACAGTCGTCGAATCTAAAACACCCATACCCCGAGACCCCCGCTTCCTACACATAACAGGCGCCTACGACCCTCAGAAATTCAAATCCCAATATTCATTCCTCTCCACGCTCCATACCTCCGAACTTGACACCCTCCGGTCCAACCTCAAACTCGCGCGAAAGCTCCTTTTGAACTCTCCCAAAGACCTACGCGCAGAACGAGAGCGGGAGGTTGGGAGACTAGAGCTTGCGGTGAAGAGGGCCGAGAGTAGTGTTAATAGGGATAAGAGAGAGAAGGTGGAGATGGAGGCGCTGGAGAGGGTTGGGAAGGAGGAGAGGGATAAGAGGAAGAAAGGGAAGGCGGAGTGGTGGATGAAGCCGGGTGAGTATTTTTCCTCTTCTTTCCCCTTTTTTTTCTTTTGGTCTTCGCCGACTGATGCTGATCAACTCACCTCACATCCAGCCGAGAAAAAAGAGTTGCTGATGAAAGCTCGCTACGACGCCATCGCATCAAGTGGAGGAAAGCGCGCAGTAAAGAAAGCGATAGAAAAGAAGCAGAAGAAACAGAGTCAGAAGGAGAAGAGATCACGTCCGTTTCCTGCCCCAGGTCGCAACCCCAAAAACACCAGCATCAGTACCAATTCCAACGCCATCGACATCGGAAGTGGAAGTGCACAGAAGCGCGCACGATTTACTCTAGACGAAGAAAGAACCCAACCCTCGAAGAAACGCAGGAAATTCTGAATCTAAATCTATCACGGTCATACATTTAATCAAAAAGTACATATCATTGTCATTGTCATTGATTCGATCCATTAGATCCTCGAATGATGGGATACAATGGGGGATGGATGGGGGTATTATCTGCTAACTGGGTAAGGTAATGCCACAGCAGTCGTCCTCGTTGCTCCTTTCGTCAATTTCGTCAGAGGTATCAATCATATGCGTAGGTCTTTGACCTAAATGCCCATCAAAAAATGAAAGAATAGAATCGTGGAAATGTGGAAAGAAATCGGAGGATGATGGGTGGGAACCGAAAGATGATGATGGTGGTATGTATGTATAATGTACAACAAGCTAGCTACAGGGTTCTAAATCAGAAAAAACAGACGTCGAAAATTCATCCTGTTCATACAGGGGAAGATATACTCCCAGATGAATATGTGCCAACCTCGAGAGTCGTTCTGAGAGTAAGCGGATTTCATCTGCGAGAGGCTCCATGCCCGAGGATAACGCCGAAGGAGGGACGAGGGATTTCAAGTTTAATGACTTGCCTAGACTCGTGTTCGTGTTTGTGCATATGCCAGAATCGCGTGAAGAAGGAAAAGTGAGCGCCACGACCTGATTAAACACAACATCGCGGATCCTCTTGCGTAGCAGCGTGCTCAGCGGCGAGTTGGGACGCATGTTCGTGTCGGACCAGCGCTCGGCTAGTTTGAGCATGCGCTCGTCTGGTGCGGGAAGCGAGCACCCTTGATTGGGGTTGAGGATCCGACCCTGTTTCTGATGCTGATGCTGATTCTGGGTTCCGTGTCCGTGGGGAACTCGACGAAGGCGTGGAAGACGAACGAGCCTCCTTCGCGCGCATAGCGATCTGCAAAACAATATCCTCTCTAATCTTTGCCCATCTCTCACCGTCCCCATCTCCCTTCACCTGCGTAAAACAATGTCCAAGATGCCCTGAAGAGATATCTCGGATTTCCTTTTTAAGCGAAGCGAGTTGGGCATCGGTCACAACTACCTTCAAGCCCGGATCGCCGCAAGAGTTAGGGTCGGGATCGCTAAATGCCAATTGCCGAAATAAAAGAAGGAACATATACATAGCAGTGGCGTCCGCCGCTTCGCCTGATAACACCAACAGACGCGCGCCGTCCAGATACGTGGTTTCGGGGTATAGTGGGAGATATGGTATGCTCGATTTCGACATGCGTTCGCGTTGGGGGGAGTGGGAATGCAGAACGGGCGTGGGGGTTGGACCACAGGGAGGTTCAAAAACAAGGTCCGTGAGGGCTTTGAGCACGCTTAGGTATATTTGCTGCGTTTGTGGGAGTTGGCGATAATTTAGAGTTATGGTGTTGGAAGGGTGGGACGGATGGGGAAGTATGATTGGAATTGGGTGGGACGAGGACATGAGGTGGTGGTATGCCGTTCGTATCCATTTCCGGGTAAGGTCGAGTGAGGCACCTGCCCCCTTTCGGCCTTTGAACGCCTTGAGCTCGTATTGACCCGCGGTTTCTATGAGGAATGGGCGGAGGGTTTGTAATTGATGGTTCGCAATATCCTAAAGCAGAAGACCTTCAGGACAAGGAAAAAGGATGATTGGGAGATACTTGCCAGTTTCATGAGTTCCAATATATCGAGGCACATGCGAACGGCCTTGACCGCGTCCGCTTTAGTGCCACCGCAGCCCGGGGCGCAAGCTTTGGCTGCTTCTACCATAGCGTCGACAAGACGATCGCGCATCGGGGCACAGTGGCTTTTGAGAGTATGTCCAATGACGATGAAGAGTCCTGATGGATCGAAGAGTTGGTGGTGGAGCTCCTGCTGAATAAGCTCCGGATCAAAGAGGGATCTGAGATGAGCGGCCTGAGCTGCGTGCTGCTCGATTTGCGTCTGAAGAGTTGCAGGATTGGCGTAGGTGCCGCATATGCTTGTAAGGGGTTGTATGACAAAGAGTAAAACCTCGAGAAATTCTGTGAGGAGGGGACGAATGCGTGAGGGCATGCGGAGTGTGAGTGCTCGACGAGGGGAGCAGTAGGTGAGGCTGGGTACTTGAGGTATAGGGCCTTGGGCGCAAACGCAGAGGAGGTCGTGGGGTTTCCATTGAAGATCAAAGGAAACGCAGGTGCAGCCTGTTTGAAGTTCTTGTGCGATAGCGGACCAATATTTGTCTGATAGATCACGTTTACGACGGCCAGATGTAGGACGAAACTGGAGACCAGCATCAAAAGAAGATCATGTCCTATGAAATATTAGATATATTAGAAGTTTAATTGATATAAAAACTGACGAAGTTGCGGATTACGAAGTATAGAGTCGAGATCAAGTTCTTTGAGGGTCTGTCTGTTGATAAGTGGGTGCATTGCTGGGATATGGGGTGATGAGAGGTCGACTGGAGGGTGAACGGGTAGAGGTGGACAATCGATAGCAGTGCAATGAGGGTCAGGGCGAGATTTGAAAGAACGCCAAGGACTGGTAAGAGGAGATGAAGGTGTCCTAGCTGAACGCCTATGAGTTTTGAAAGATTGTAGATTATGAGTGTCAACTCTTGGACGTTTTGGAGAGGGTTCTGATGGCCATACAGCTCGTGCAGCATCGGTGGAGATTGAAGGAGGAGGTTGACGAGGAGCATAAGTTGAGTCTAGTATCATACTAGCAGTGGTATCATCGTTTGAATTCGATTTGAATCTGATATCTGTTCATCCTCGTTGTCGTTCTTGAGTTTTCGTTTTCTACAGTTGAGTTGATGACCGAAATCGCTCATGCTGGTGGTACAAGATAAAAAGGGAGACTAGTCAGTGAAAAATGATGGGTTTCGTTATATAAAGGCAACTCAGGGCGAACACATGCACAACTGCCTTACCTGACGTACGCCGCGAGTTTCAAAGCTTGGCCAGCTGTATACCACGCTGTCTAAGTAGGGGAGATCCTAAAAATTCAATTCACATGAACGTGTATCCCTTAAATTATCAAGTAGAACAAATTACACGCTAGCTCACACTCGGTCTGTAACCACTTACTGGTCTTTTCAAAATCATGATCGAGTCGGAAAAACTCGTGCTATCAACGTTGATTGGCTCCGTACACCACGGATATATTTCATACATCCTAGCCTCGTTCCTTTTCATAATAGGTGGTAACTTGACCGTCGTCGATCCTGGCCGTCTTTGTTTTCCCAGCGGAACATCCCTATCACATGGAGATTCTCGTACATGACAATGGTGATGAGTCCGGTCATCGTTACATATCAATTAATCTCTCTTCTCCTTCCTCTTCCTCACTAGTCTTCTTCGTAGCTTTCCTACCGTAGAACTCTCCAATAATCTTTGGATTTTATCCGGTTAAGCTGTTCCTTCGGGAAAATCCGAAGTAGCTAGCGACCAAGCCAAGTCGAGCGAATCAAAGATAGTACGAGACTCATAGGGTCCTGCATAGCCTTCAGAAAATTTTCACCCGCGCCCCTTGACAAATTCACCCACCTTGGCCAACAAATTGACGTTCAAACTTGTCCAAAAACTCCAATGCCAGCTTATCTTCAGCCGACAGTGCCTCCTCGCCAACAACAGCCTTCATCGCAGCTGCATCGCGACCGATCGCGTATTTCGCGTACTGCACCAGTCCAAAGCCAGTCAGATCGTCATTTCGGTTAATATGAAGGCACCCACCAATTGGTTCGAAACATCGCCATGATCCTTCCTCGTAAGCTTCTCGCCAATCGCGCTCTTCATCAGTCGTGATAGAGATGGCAAAACATTGATGGGCGGGTATATCTGTCTGTTGTGCAATTGTCGGTCTACAAAAATCTGTCCCTCCGTGATATATCCAGTCAAATCAGGAATAGGATGCGTGATGTCTGATTCATCGGATCAGCGCTCGAACATGGAAAAAAAAAGGCCGGATGACGTCACCATCGTTCGGCATCGTCAGAATGGGAATTTGAGTAATAGAACCATTCCGTCCTTGTACTCGCCCAGCCCGTTCGTAAATTGTCGACAAGTCTGTGTACATGTAACCGGGGTAGCCACGACGTCCAGGAACCTCTTCCCGAGCCGCAGAAAACCTTCACACGAAACGCACCAAGAGTGGTAAGTCTCTTTCCAGAAAGACTCGACAGAAACGAAGAACGCACCTCACGCAAGGCATCCGCATAAGACGACATGTCAGTCAAGATGACCAACACGTGTTTCTCCAGCTGGTATGCATAGTATTCTGCCGTAGTGAGCGCAAGACGAGGCGTAATAATACGCTCGATGGTGGGGTCGTTCGCAAGATTAAGGAACAACGTCACGCGATCGAGACTACCGTTTGACTCAAAGTCTTCTTTGAAGAACCGTGCGGTTTCCATGTTCACACCCATTGCTGCGAACACGACAGAGAAATTGTCTTCGTGGCCATCATGGACGTCTTTTGTGGGACGTTTCACTAGACCGGCTTGACGTACGATCTGGGCTGCGATCTGCGCATTTCGGTTAGCTCCTTAAGGGGTTTTTGGTTCTGTGTGGACTTCATATGCACCTCGTTGTGCGGCAAACCAGCAGCAGAGAAAATAGGAATCTTTTGCCCACGTGCGATTGAATTCATCGTATCAATTGTCGAAATTCCAGTCTGGATCATTTCCTCAGGATATATGCGCGAGTAAGGATTGATTGGGTATCCTGCACCACCGATCAATACTAGAAGGTGGCCGAGTCTCCACAAGTATCACGTACCATTAATGTCCAAGTAATCCTCAGCAAACACTTTTGGACCCTGATCAATGGGATTTCCAGAACCGTTGAAGATACGACCAAGCATGTCCTCGGCCACAGGTAACTTCATACTGCTTCCTGTGAATTCGACATGCGTCGCTTTGACGTCCACCCCTGACGTGCCTTCAAACACCTGAACAATCGCCTTCTTTCCTTGAACTTCCAAAACCTGGCCGCCTCGCTTCGATCCATCGGGTAAAGTTAGCTGCACGATCTCATTGTATGAAGGAAACTGCGTAAAACAAGCAAGTATGTCGGTCAGCACAACCCAACCAAAGGCAATGTAAAACTAGAACAAAATCAACATCAACATCAAAACGCCGCGCACCTTGACATTATCAAGCACCACAAGTGGGCTGTAGGGACCCGGTCAGATCGCTCATTAGCTATGACAACAGCACAAACCCATTGATCGCAGAAACAGTGCGGTAGTCTTGAGGGCTCGTCAATAACTACTCGGCGTCTTGCAATGCTTATGCTTTGGGACGCACCAAGGTGTGGTTGGACGCGGTATTCCCGTGTCACTGCAGCTGCATTGATTGCGGCTAGCTGTCCGTCACTCATGCGAGGGTCTGCAACCATGATGCACAGGTGAGGCTGGGCGTTGTCGGGCGCAGGAGACTGTTTTCGGACCCACTTGTAAGTAGCAGGTGGCTGCAAACCGACTTTCCCACGCCTCCAACATTAAGATCACAACACGCCCCCCTCGTATAAAATAGTACATTCCAGCTAGTAAGGGTGTTCATACGATATGATCTACATGCGACTTAATCCTGCGTATAGGTCGTACACTGAACAACGTTTTAATCACTCGGTAATTGCGCAAGAGAGGAGCTCCGAGACGCGAGTTGCTGCCACATTCACTTGCATGCTTTCCGAAGACCTGTAATAAAGTCAGCTATTTGAGGGAAGAAAGGGGACACGATTCCCAAACTGTACCATTCTGTTTCGAGAAGTAGTTCTTCGACTGCTTCGTCTGCCTCCCAGCCGAGGTCCCTGCTTTGTGTGAACGTGTAAAGGTATTCAGCCGTACTGGTCCGGATCTAAGCCACGGTCAGTATCGTCCACCTGTGATGTAAAAATACGACCTTGGGATAAGGGTGAGAAAGGAAGTCGATGATTCGCTCCGAGGATGATTTCGACACCGAGGAAACGACCAAGAGATTTACGACGCTACATATTGCTCAGCTGGGGTGTTATCGTGCGAATAATAAACTCACATTTTCATGGACTCTTGGACTCGCTGTACATTCTTCAATCGCAGGACATTTCTCGTTGCAATGTTCAATAATTTCTCTAGTCTAGAAGCTTCGTTAGTTCGGTTTGACTGAGAGAAGAAACGAAGGCGACATTGATGGACCGCTGTCAACGCTAGACAGGTGAGACAACACGTCTGCCTCCAAAAACATATTAAACGTCTGCAAGATAGGAACCACCACGGCATTTGACGTCGTTTTCCCTTGTGCGCACTCAATGAGGTCATCACACAGCTCGAACAAACTATAGCCAGAATCGTTGGGAGACAATGGAAGGCCCTGCGCAAAGGATACCAGACTCGAAGATACCGGGCGATGCTAGTGACGTCATTAGAGATGCGAGACGAAAGTGCAAAGGAGACGGACCGTGCTTCCAGTTCTAGCTCCTACACTGTGTATAAGACCTGTCAGTAGGGGTTGTCTGTACTCCTGTACGCGGAGCAGTTCTACGGCTTTCGGAAATAGCCATTCCCCAACACTCCAGCTGGTTATAGCGTCCGAGGCGTCACTATTTGGGATGAGAGAGGTGCCAGCAACACAAGTTGTGAGGACTCACTCCAGAAACAGCTTCATCATCAGTTGTGAGCCTTTGATACGCCATTCCTCTTGATGAGGAACGCTCGGGAGAGGGATGCGAAACAATTGCAATAAACAGTGTCCCGCGATCTGACGTACATTGTCCAGTCTTTCGACGCCCTGACGGAGGATTCTGGCTATCGCACTGTGATACCTTTGCGCAGGCAAGTAACTCGCGAATTCAGGTATGCTTCCTGAAATGCGAAATAGATCTTCGAAAATCGATGCTAGACCTTGAATGCACGCCATCCGTACCCACGAGCCAACGTCACCACGCTCGTCCATCGTGTAATCATCCAGTCCGCTGTCAAGGGCATCAATTACTCCACACATACTTTCTGCAATTAGATCTGAGGAGAGATGTTTCATTTACATTCGCCGAACATAAAATAAAAACACGAACACTCGGTGAGGCGAGGCAGTACATTCGCCATGATCTTGGGTAATGCTTGGAAGCAATTTCTACGTGCTTCAATGCTCGACATTCTTCCAGAGGACTGCGATCACCGCTTCAACCGGCATAAAACCCTCAACTAGGGAAAATCTTACATCGGGATTGACGCTATCCAACAAGCACTTGACTACCTCAGAGAAACCATGCGGATGCGCGTTATAATTGAGAACCCCTAGGGTATATCCAAGACTTTGCTGCAGGGACTGAGGGCCACGGCGAAAGTCCTTGATTAATGTGCTGAGGAGGTGTCAATTAATGTCTTGGACAAATGTAGTGTCATTTAATCTTATCTGTGCACATCTCGCGAGCAATCTATTAAGGAACTCGTTGTGGCCATGGCAGCGGCAGCGGCTTGTTGGACGGAAGAGCTTCTGTGCCGCAGTCCCTGGTCTACGACCCTTTTCCAATGGGGTACAGATGATTTTTCTTGAAGCTCAACTTCCTGTAATGTCAAGCTGCTTGCAATGAGATCGCATACCGCCCCAAGTACTAAGCCGTTTCGAGGGGCCATAACGGCATCTTGGGAAACAATCGCGATGAAGGCGAATATCTGATAGGCGATCAACACGAAGGACGCGTTGAGAACTTCATGCGCACCTTTTGTCGATTGCTTGCATTCTCTTCACTTCCCTGAGCTCGGTACGCTTCAGAGATGCCTGTTAATGCTGCAAGTGCTCCATGCACATCAGATACATCAACGGAATGTAAAAACCCCGCCTAAAGCGAAATGAGAAATATCCTTCGTTGAATAGTCAGTCCCTCACAATCTTCGAAGCACACTCTAACCCTAGTGTCTTCAAGTCGAGCTCGCATATCCGGCGCAAGGCCTGAGCACCCAACTCCCTCATCGCAACATCCCAGTGACGCAGAGTGATCGAAATGATGTGATCGATCAGATATGATCTGTACTCCAGGTGCCTAACAAGGTTCATTGAATTGACAGTTCTTAGTTGTGAAAGGGTGACTTACTCAGCGACCTGTGGAGCAGCGACAGTGAATGCATTCCGTCGCACGCTGACTGCATAGAAGTCGGTTTTCCTAAGGACGTCGATACCATGTGGGAACAGCGCCTGAAACACATTGCATGAACTCTCAACGTAATTTACTTGAGACAAGCACATCAAGGTGTACCATCCTGCCAACATGTTCTTGGAAGGCGGCACTAGCCGCCCTTCGAATGTGAATTTCCCTGTCGAACAACGCCACAGAAACGAGCCACTGCGCAAGTTCGCGAGCATGGGGAGAGAATGATTCCGGATCTTGTGCCCTCGCTAAAGCCCAGATCACATAGGCCGCAGCATCCCGTACGTTTGATCCAACGGAATGGGACCCCTTACGTATGTCGAAGTAGAGGGCCTAATGTACATCATCATCACATGAAAGCAGTTAATTCATATCTGGCTTTTCTCACTTTCGAGAGCCAGCCCAAGAGGCTTCCTAGCACAGAAGTTTGAACGAGACCTCTGCGTGCCATCTCTGCTGACGCGAGAGAAGCGCCATGCCAGGTAGCTTCGGCGATGGCAGGAGTGTCATAAACACTTGCGCCTGCTATAGAATGGATTGAGAAAAGACCAAGAATCGTCTCGAATACCTGAGAGGAAAAATCCGACGGAAGGCGTTCTGAAAGGCGAGCAATGCCTTTGGCTGCTGACCATCGCACGACGGTGTCCTATACGTTGTGTAATTGATGTTCGCAAGTGGCATACAGAAAAATACCTTATCCTGCAGGCTCTTGAATAGAGACTCCAAGATTGTGTCGATTTCTTCAGGGACATCGACATCCTCATCTACGTTCCCATGGCCAGTTTCGTTCTTGATATTGCCATCCAAGCTACGGACTGCGAAATTAAGGATTAAATTGTAAACCATGTTGAGATGTGAGTTGACATTACACGTTAACTTGGATCTAGATGCATTCGGGGGCATCAAACGCAACGCAACGCGCGATAGCAGTTTCGTGCGATATTTTCGAACCAGTGTATTGCTGGCCAAAGTGGTACTTTGCTCTAAGGTATCTGTAATCTCCAAGAACTGTTGCGTAAAGGCTTGGAGCTGTTCAGAAGAACCGGATTTGACCAATTCACAGAGAACTTGCAATACTCCTATAGACTACTTCAAATGAGTCACATTTCGGAAAGCATCAAGTCATCATCTTACCAGGATGATATCTGAAGAGCGAAAAACAGTTATTGACCACTCGACAAAAGAGAAGAATTGCGGCTTGGTGTCCTTTCTTAAAGAAGTTCAAGAAATGGATGCCACCGCGTGCATTGTGCTCACCGTGCATAGAAGCGTGCCAGAAGGGTAGCCGCTCCTTCGCGCTCTAAACCAGCCATGCTAAGGCGATCCTTTCCAACGAGCTCGATTGCATTTGCTGTTTCACCAGATCGAGTGACATCATCGAATTTCTGCAAGTCAAAAGGGATCCGACAAATGAGAGATAGCCAAAGCAGCACGGCATATCGCAGTCCCCATTGACTGGGATCTTGTACTGGCCCCGACGGCAACTGAATGAAATCCAAGGCGATTGAGAGATCGGCAACTTCATGAGGGAAGAATCTAGCTGCTTGGAATGAATATAAAGGGGATATATCAGAAAAGTACCACCGACTTATTGTCTTATACCCGCGGAACTTGATATAATTATGAAGAAGATCTGCGAGGCGTTCCACACGGCCGCTATGAGAAGACTGAGCACCTCGTGCATTAACGCATGTCATTGCATATTTCCTAAGGCATTCCGCGACGGGAGACACGAGGCTTTCAAGGTAAGGGTCCAACAGATACGATTGCTCTTGGTATTCTCCAAACTTTATCAACCACATTAAGGTATGTCAACCCTAGATATAACGGACGACTTACGATCATGATTAATTTTCGACTGCAATCGAGTTCCACGTCTTCCTCTCCGCGACTGGGCTCTGCGAACAGATCGACTGCCAGCAGGATGTTTTGAGCTGCTACGAACTCATCATGGCGCTCGAAAGCTGCAAACAATCGGGTTTCCTGTGAGTCCTCATCCATGACCACCGTGTCATTGACAAAGTGAACAGCAGAGTCGACAGTGCTAATGGCACGCGAAGCTTGATCTTAAGTCCGTTTACGTCAGCGGCTTCAATATGGGCCAAGCGCCTAAAAGTCATGGAGCACTTTTACAGAAATACATGAACCTGCTATTTGGTCCACCGACCTTTCGATCCCATCGCACGAACTCTAGCTCAGTGGAGACATAACAAATATTGATGTCACCTGCTGAGGCGCCAGTGAGAACAACGAAGAGAAAGAGACAACCTCAAACTGACGAAACGGTGCGCGTTCAATACAACGGAGTTTCACGCCATGGTTTACTTATTTGTACCCCAGAACATCGGGACTAAGTTAGAGAAGAAATTGGCACGTCTCGTTCTCTAATTGGTAGCACCCAAGATCTTAATCCTTGATTGTTCATTAAGCACCATGACACAAGAGAGGTCAGGAAAGCCGCGAAGAAGGCAAAAACCTTCGAGATGCAGAAGATTTTGAAGAAAATGAGAGATGCGAGGTGTGTGGTCGGTTTCGTCATTTTAGTAGAGTGTTTTTCTGACAATTTATTTCCCAGGCGCAAAGGCGATGATGATGCAGTCAAAGATATCGAAGCACAGCATATAGCTCTCAAGGTGAGTAAATACAATGCATCTGATATACGTCCTTATCGAATAGTCTGCCAGCAACTTGACCCCGGGCCTATCGCCGATTCAGCTCTCTCAACGAAAATCAAGAAAGACAAATTCCTTTCACAAGATCCCAACCTGCAATCTGCGATGTCCAAGTCATTGTCTTCCAGCTTAATCGTATCCGCTGTACCTGGATCCGCAGAAAGCGTAGTCCAAAGCAGGCTACTTAGTTCCAAGGTCCTGGCGGTTGATGTCTCTCGTATAATTGAGGGACTCCGGCGCCTACTTAACCCTGCGGAGCGGGTCTACCGCGCAGAAGCCGATAGTGCCGAAGTATCACCGCCTCGAAATAAGAAACAGAAGACACAACAAAACAAGGGTTCGCCTAAGGTCCCACCGGTGGATACTCCTGAAGATGAGCCGAGAGCAAATCTTGAAGATGATGGCTGGGAGTCAGGCACGGTTAGTGACGGCGATCATTTTGTCCAGGGAGATTCGGGGGTTGATGAAGGGCCTGGCGATGAAGACAACTCCACCTCTGATGGTGGTGATGATCTCCCCGTCCCTCGCGAACGATCGAGTCGAGGGGAATCAAAGGCAACGCAATCTACTTTTCTACCTTCCCTTTCGGTGGGTTTTATTCGCGGAGACTCGGACACCGATTTTAGCGACAGCGAGGAGAGAGCAGCTGATACAGCTAAGAAGAACAGACGTGGTCAGCGGGCACGCAGGGCGTAAGTTTCCGGCTTGGTTTTGGAATAATTAAACTTAATTTTTCTTCAGAATATGGGAGAAGAAATTTGGAAGACATGCCAATCATGTGATGAAGCAGAAAGCTTCTAACCGCCCCAATGCCCCTTCCAGCATTACGGTCGTCCGCCAAGATCAGCGAAATCACAGAAATGGTCATCGCGATTCGGATGGCGCGCCGCTCTCTGGTCACAGGCAAAATACCCGAATACCAGACAAGAACAAATACGACGCATCTGCTCGCCTCGTGTTAGGTAACCGTAAGGAAGAGAAATCGCTTCATCCGTCCTGGGAGGCTAAGAAGAAACAACAAAATGTCGCAATTGTACCTGCACAGGGCACAAGAATCGTCTTCAGTTAGTCTTAATAGACGTCATATGATTCCAATATAATCCAATTCAGTTGGCGCTACGCATGTATCAAAGAAAGCTAGTTGAAGCGTATGACACTTGCATAAATAAAAAGAAGTTGCCTAGAAGCATGACGCGTGCGTAACGAAGTATCCAGAGGCATGATGCGTGCGTAAAGGATCGCTGTGAAACTTGTCTTGGTATATGGGCAGCAAACGTTGTGGAAAGCATTTTGAAGAAAAGATGGATAGCGACGGTATTCATTGTAAGAGACCATAGAGGGAATCACGTTCTACAGACGTGTCTCTTCCCTCCCTGCATTCTACATCCCCTGGAACACCACACATCACCACATCGGGGACAGTGCGGGAAGTCCCTGCCTGTTTTTAAACATGTGACGCACACAGTGCGGCACGACAGCTTCGAGGCATTCTCGATAGCTTCAAGAATGGGACAGAGTGTAGAGATATTTTCCCCGAGAGGTGATGCAGGCGGGGAGTCATGGGAGGATAAACCAGATATGAGTTGTTCACCAAAGGTTGAGTTCATAGAGGACGTGCAACTTATAGATGGGCGAACAGGTGAGCGAGACCGCGATCGAGGGGAATCGGGCAGTTCAAAGTTGTACTCGTTCGCCCACCCCGTGTCCAGCTGCTTTCCGTGTGGCTTGGATGGGATAGAAAAATACGAGCGGAGCCAGAAGACCGCTGGTACGGTGGTGGTAAATGAACCATGAGCTTGGAGGTCGCCTTGAACGACCTCAGCAGGGGATGGATCATAAAGCTTTTTGGGAAATCGTGATGCCGTAGACAACTGGGAGGTTATGGAAGAGCACGAGACACTCCATGTCCGTTTGCGCCTATAATCAACAGAGGCATATTTTTGATGCTGTTACAAAGCCGCACATGTAAGAAGGTTGTCAACATCGAGCTTAAAGACATACCTCGGAGCTACTGTGCGATGTATGATATGAGGAGTCCATTGTGAGGTATAGGGTTGGGCTTCCCCACACAACAGTCTTCTGAGCGGAAATAAATACGAGAGTAGATACTCCTACTAGTAGTTATCGACCAATGATCTCAGAAGAGGGTACCGTGGAAATAAGCTTTGCCGAAAAACATAAAAGATATGATAACTTACCTGCGCCCTCCGCACTGACTTGCGTGGCAAATGAGGGTGCTTACAACTGGCAGAGCAAAAGTGGTCGTGTGCCAGGTCGGCATAATTTGCTTTATAGCGGCAACTTCCTTTCCGAACACGACGTCGAAGCTTCTAGCTTCTTCTTTACGGCATACAATGGATAAAGCGGGAAGCAAGTTGCAACCGATTGCCCTAGGCCCACGGGTACACCCTAAGCGATATCGTATCAGGTTCATAATCCGTTGTCACCTGTGAGGGAACTTTTCAAGAAAGTGGGTCGACCTGCAATCATCTCGACAGTCTTATCTCAATGGCTGAATCACTGCCACTTTGTATAGTTCACGTACGTTGCGGTAAATTGAAAGTTTCCGATACCGGTGGGCGTCCTGCGTCACGCTTATGCTACCATTATCATCAGCAGATGCTAAGAAAACGTTAGGACTATCACTATCACGGTACTTAGCAGGCCACATGACGAAGAGTTTGCGGTCCGGGGGTCGTATTTTGGTGTGCACCAAAGCAACACAACAGACTGACGAGACGACGCGAGGCGTTGGATGACGAAGAGTGTGTGAATTTCTTGACGACTCGCGCAACTTTAATTGGTAACAAGAAAGTTTGAAAGGATGTTCGAAGGGATGGCCTGCTATCAACCTAGGCCTTATAAGCTGTCACGTTTCTTGTAGCTAGCCAATTGAATTATTGCAAAACACACGCACAAGTTTAGCTAGTGGTGGTGAGCCTTGAGGCCAGTCATCATATGGCAAAATTAGGAACCTGATTTAATTGTGATTCAATTGTGACTCAAAATCATTACGCGATGCCCTGCTGATACGTACCGTGCTGCTGCTGCTGCCTGGCTGTTGTCCTACCCCGGATTTGCCAAGTGAATACGTACTAGGGCTACAAAGTAGCATAGCCAGGGATCAGCATCAGCTGAAAACCCTAGCAGACAAACAAGACAAAATAGGAATGACTGTGTGCTTGCTGTGCTCGTTGACCAGCATAGACCATATCTGCACCCTCTTGAAATTTTACCCTTCTCCCTTCATTTCCATCCTCTCGAGCCACCAAACTCCACAGTCTGACGTTTACACAGTTCTGATTCGGCTCATCGGCTAAGCGATCACTTTCTACTTTCTTACGTCTTTCTCCTCAATAGTCATCCATGGTACGCTCTGACACGTCTCATCATTATATGGCCAGTCTCACTTTTCGGCCATCCATCAGGGTCAAACACTCTCGGCACCAGGTAGGGAGCCCTTGCGCAGCCTTTTGGATGTCATTTTTACTCCAAGAAACACTCATAACCTATCCCTGTTTCTTTCTACAGCCACGGAGAAGAAATCAGAGACGGGAGAAGATGATCGCTATCTATTTGCAGTTTCTGAGATGCAAGGATGGAGAATTAGTGCGTCACTGATTTTTCGGCTGCGGTTTTGATGTGATCTCACATTTCGCGTATATCTGTCCTTATTGCAGCTATGGAAGATGCTCATGTGACCATCCTATCCCTTGAAGAGAGCACAGATAAAAACACATTCTTTGCTGTTTATGATGGACACGGTGGTAAACTCTTGCTACTTCTTTTTGCGGATTCTGGCCTCGAGCTCAGTTTGATTCTTCACAGGAAGCACCGTCGCGAGGTTTGCCGGGAAGAACGTTCACAAGCGACTAATTTCAGAAGAGGCATATCGTGAAAAGCGTTATGATGAAGCACTGAAGAAAGCATTCCTTGGCACCGATGAAGATCTCCTCGCTGGTACGCTATATCGCCTTTGTGTCTCTGCACACTCCACTCATTTCAATACAGATCCGTCGCATACCCGTGACCCATCAGGTTGTACTGCTGTAGCCGCTTTGATAACAGACGATAACAAGATTTATGTGGTACAGCAGTTTTTCTTATCTCATTGTCCTTTTGCCAACGGTTGCCTGACAGGCAAATGCTGGCGATTCCCGGTCTGTTCTTAGCGTCCAAGGTAATGCCAAAGCTTTGAGTTTTGACCATAAACCATCAAGCGAAAGTACGTTGATCATTCAACCATTGACCCATTACCTTTGTTCACTAGTATTCAGCCGAACGGAAACGGATCACGGAAGCTGGAGGATACGTAGAATATGGACGTGTCAATGGTGAGTCATCCAATCACTCTGAGACTTTACTTATGACGGACTTCCTAGGAAATCTTGCACTGTCTCGCGCTTTGGGAGATTTCGAATTCAAGAAAAACTATGCACTCGGTCCTCAAAAACAAATTATTACAGCTGATCCTGATGTCACCGTCCACGATGTGACAGACGAAGACGAGTTTCTAGTCCTGGCCTGTGATGGTAAGACAGCGAGTCCTAAGTACGACGTGGTTCTAATTTTTCGTCAGGTATCTGGGATTGTCTATCCTCACAGGCCGTCGTTGACTTTGTCCGGCTAAAAGTCTCAGAGGGCTTGGAACTCAAAGAGATCGGAGAGATGATGTGCGAGCATTGTCTTGCTCCAGATACCTCGTCTGGGTCAGGTATCGGGTGCGATAACATGACTGTCCTCATCGTGGCTCTTCTTCACGGAAGGACGAAGCAAGAATGGTACGACTGGGTCAAAGATCGTGTCAAGAACCACTACGGTTATTCAACACCTGACTCTATCCTACAAATCTATTCATCAGATCGACTATCATCATACAGAGCGCGGAGAGAGGCGCAGCAAGAGAGGGACAGGCTGAGGAGGGAACGAGGCGAGGACAGTTCGTCAGGCAGTTTGTTTGGCGGGAACAGTCCATTTGCTCGTGTCTTGGGAAGCACTGGTGGCATTTCTTTCCATCCGGGTTCGGGGATCCTCAGCGACACTGGTCGCCTCATGTTTGCCAGTAACGACGATGAGGATGACAGTAGTGATGACATGGAGACATCCTTCAGCGGACGCTCATTCTTCAGCGACACGTTCGGGCTTCCCCGCGCACAGCCACCGGCCGCTGGAGCTGCTGGTCTGCGAGCACGTCTTGCCTCCTTTGAGGTCGACGATGACTTTGACGATGAAGATACTGACAGGTCCATGGATGGCGTTGCCCGGATTGAGGAAGTTCAGGATGATGACGATGGGGCTAGTCCATTTGATGATGTAAATGACGGCATCCCGAAATCCCCCAGTCCATCACCTAGTCCGCCAAATCCTAGACTCAACGGAGACGTCACTCCCGTCCAACAATTCAAGGTGCCTCTCCGAGGTGACGGTCTAGATCCTGCGTTAAACGTTGATGGCTTAATGCCCTCAAGTGAAGACCCTTTGAAAGCATAGCTGTATATCTCCATGTGTTTTAATTTTCCTTTCACCTATCAGCGATTGCTGCAGGTTGTGTTTTGGGCTACCTCGTGCTTCGTATATTACTATTTTCTTCTTACCGTCGCCTTCAAACATTGACGGTTCATGATTCCCTCCTGTAGTATCACAAGTATTATACTTCAAACTACAGGCTGTTCACTGTACTTTCCTCCAATTTTATTCAAAAGATGTTGTGCATCACCACTAGCTCGTTCTCGCATAGACAGACGATCGTGTGCCCCTGCGCCGTTTTGAACGTACCGACACCTAACAGAGAACCAGCGCTTCCATCGCCAACTTTCAATACACTTTGTTTCGCCCAAATCTGACCTGGACGCCCACCGCGGTAGATGTATACGTTCCCTCCTCGATCCCTACTGCCATTCTCGAATGCCAAAACCGCTTTCGATGAGACATGATACGTGAAGCGCGTATCCCGCTTAGAGGCGAGCACAAAGGCGAGCGCCGAGAAGGTTGCGCTGTGCGTCCAAGTGGGCAGAGAATCCACCGCCTGTGCCTCATCCAGGGTGAACAGGGTGCCATCAATACCATTCTTCACAACCATAGATGCTCCTGGACCCGATCCAGGAAGATCGATCGACAGAACGTTGCATGCAGAATCACCAAAGCTAGATGACCACACAGGGATCCCTCCATCCTCACCCACCCACGTCAGGAATGTCACTCGTCCGATCGAAAAGTCGACTTCCTCATCCATCTCTCCCTGAGCAAGCGCTGGTACCCCTCGGCCCAGTCCAAGCCCGCTCATATCCTCCCCACTTTGGAGTGCGGCTGTGTACTTCTCCAACGACTCTCTGATGAGGTAGAGCTCTGAAGGGTCGAGAGTTTCTGGAACTTCTTCCTCTCCGCCTGGTGTACCCGCAGATGCAAATACATGCATCCATCGAGTATTTTCACGTTGTTTGTCCAGATGTAACGTGAGCAATCCAAATGAGTGCTCTCCCTCGCGATCCCAAGTCCAGAAGCTGGTAGAGGTTTGAATGCCGTCCCAGAGCTGTTGGGCGGAATAGCGAGGAAGAGGTACGCCTTCGACATGTGATGTGGTTTGGACGTGCACCGTCAAGGTCTTTTGGGAAAATGTCACTTTGATGCTTGAAGTTGGGGTTGTTGCAGGGAGAGGGAAGGCCACTGTCACGGAGTCAGATGTCTGTGTCCAGGAATATGGTGGAGGCTTGGGGGGAGTCTCTACGTCTAATTTTTCATCCAGACGCGGAATAGGGGCCATTTCATCTGACGACGGTTCGTACGAGGATGGGACTGGCTGGTTGAGCTCACGATAGACGGAGCTACCAGCCAGAAGAAAGCATTTTCGAGAGTTATCATACTCCGTGAATATGGGTACATCCTGTCCCCGCCTCCTCCAAAGAATGTCAATGGGGGCGAGACCGTTGTTCTGGTTTGGAAAAGGCAACGAGAATCTCGCAGCCCAGACGTCAAATTCAGATGCGTGACTTGCCATTGGTTGCGTTCGAACAGCTTCAGGGTCTCCATAGAAGCGAGAAGACAGAAGTGCTATAGCTGCGCTATCGGATAACTTGACAACAGAGTGGATACGGAATGGAATCGGAGCCGAATGAGGAGTTTGCGTGTTATCAGCAA